AGCCGCCAAGAGGGAGGCCGACGCAGCCCGCGAGGCCGCCCAGGACAAGCAGCAGAGGACCAAGCGCAGAGCCGAGGAGGAGATCAAGCAGGCGTTGTTTCGTTCCCCCAGAAACGGCCGACTCGGCGCAGATCACCAAGATCATGCCACGAGGCGCGGCTGGGGACCCGAGCACCTTGTTGAACCACAGGCCCCCATCTTCTTCTCTCTTCCTCTGGCTGGCTGGCACGCAGCCAGAAACATCGCTTCACCATCAGCAAGAGTAGTGGACGGCCCCGCCGTCATCCCTGACAAAGAGCGAGGGCAGGGCAGGGGTTCAGCGCAATCAGCGCGAACCCCACTGGCACGCTGGAGCGCGCCATGCGGACCACCAGGTACATGCGCAGGTATCACGCGGGTATGGCGGAGGAGCTGCAGGCCAACGAGCACAGCATCTCCTGCGTCAGCCAACGGATGCAGAAGGAGGGCTGGAGGCTGTGCAACGTGCCGAGCGTCCGCACCGCGCGGGGGGGCTGGAGAGCGCAGCTGCTCCTGGCAACCGTGCGGCCAAACAGCATGAGCTACGTCATGGGGCCCGACGCGAGGGGCGACCCGCCCTGCGAGTCCAAGGGCGGCCCGGCGAAGGGCAGGAGAGGCTATGGCGCAAGGAGGGGGGCACCGCAGGGCGCGGCGCACCTCTGGGACAGCCGAGGGCATCCCGCGGGAGCTTCACCACGGCCGCCGCAGGGGCGGGGAAGCACTGGATCCAGGGCGGTTGACGCCGACATGGACCCAGCAAAGCTACAGCACATAGGGGAGTGAACAACAGGATGGAAAGGGTCATCGTGTTCGGAACACCTTCGCGCGGCTCGTGCATCGGGGGGGGCACGGTGCCGCGACCACTTCATCATGGGCAACACGTACGAGGAGCACCCCAGGCAGCACCTCAACTACGTCGGCCAGGTCGGGCAAGAGGGCAAGGGCCACCTGGTTTGCGCCCAGAACAACGCCAAGGGCATCCTTGGGAAGGACATCAGCGAGCCGCTCCTCGAGCGGGACTACCTAGCATGGCGCGCGGTGCCAAATCAGGAGGAGGGCAACGCAGGCGCCATGGACGAGCAGGAGAAATCCGACAACCTGGACGAGTTAAGCTACGCAGGACGCCGAGTCGAGGGGGACAACACGATCCTCCCAGAGAATACTCCTCGGCGGACCCCCGCTGTCCTCGGCCTCACGGCTTCGCAGGACTGCCCGTTGGTTGGGGCGGAAGCGGCGAGAGAGCGCCGCCGACCGACGGGGCGGGGGCGACGCACGGACATCGATTGGGGCAGGGTGGCGATCACAGCCGCCTGGGTCGACGCCGAGCACATCACTCAGAGAGGCTTGCACTACGTGGACAGCGTGACCAAGCTCATGTGGGGGGCCAACCGCATGCCCTACGCGAGGCGTTGGGAGGCGGCCAACAAGCGAGCCCATGACTGGGCAAGCCGAGGGGGGTCGCGGGAACGCGCGGCACGGCCACAGGCCCTCTACTGCGAGGCCGCGCGGGCCGACGGGGACCTCCACGAGGGGACCTACTTCGGCCTGATCGAGTGCTTCGAGTGGGTTACTCAGCGGAAGGCACGGGAGGCGTCGCAGCGATGGGGCGCCAACACAAGCATCATGCGGACGGACCGCAAGATGTACAGCATAGGGCGGCACAGCGTCCTGGACGGGGCTACGCCGAGGGCGAGGCTGGGCAGCGGGGCATCGAGGCGGACAGCTGGCACATACCGTTCGGTCGCCAGATGGTCATCATCCTCGAGCTGGACAGGCTGGCGTACCAGGTTTTCTGGGCGAACGCGCCCCTCTACGTCGGGGACCGTGCCGCGGCCACGCACGGCAGGCGCGAGCACGTCGGCGAGGGCCGCCCGCAGCCCATCGCGGCCGTGAGCTCCGGGTTCGAGACGGCCCTGGGCATGGCGGTCTCAAGCGGCACGGAGGCGAAGACGGTCACCCTGGCCTCCTCCGCTGCGGGGAGAGACCGCAACAACAAGAGGACCAGGTACCTCGGCGCGAGAGTAGTCAAGCACGAGAAGCACCTGGGAGGGACTGCAACAGCATGCAGACGGAGTAGAGTGGCCGCCATCAACAAGCGGGCGCCGAAGTTTGCAGAGAAGAAGGCACGGGTGGCAGCCGTGCGCAGAGCGGGAGGAGTGACATGCAAGCTGGGCGGCTCGAGGCAGTTCGGCGACTACGCACCGCGGAGACGAGGGGGAATCAGCCTCACCAAGCTCAAGGACAACGGTGAGTACGACATGGATGACGGGGGCTACGGGTCCCGCCCTGGCGCGCCGAGGGTCCAGAGCATCTCGCGGGTGGAGATCTACGCGCGGCGGCAGGCGCCGCAGACAGGCACCCCGCCCATGTTCATCCGCACCGACAGCCAGAACGTCGTCGACGGCGTGATGGCTGGACCGTCGTGGCTCGACAAGAGGAGCCACCTGCACCTCGACCACTGGGAGTGCATCGTCCAGGCCAT